CTTTCTCGAGAGTTTCCACAACATTTGGAGAGGAAGGGCCAGCTTCATGGAGCAGTGCTCCGAGTGCTCCGAGGGGGGCGCTGTTGGTCGTGTGTTTAGTATTCCTCATTTTGCGTATGTATCCCTATTTGCGTATCCCTATTTTGCATATACTCTATGTGCACGCTGTACACATATTCGTCCTCTGCACGTGGCTACAAGTTGCTGGGGATGTCATGGGTTGGATGGCATCCCCTGCTCTATGTGCACGCTGTACACATATTCGTCCTCTGCACGTGGCTACAAGTTGCTGGGGATGTCATGGGTTGGATGGCATCCCCTGCTGCCGCATGCACATCAAACACGTATACTAACCCCCAAACCGCTCTATGTAGGGAGTATATTTTTTGCCGCATCTACTGTAATATCTCCGGTTCGTCCATTGTCTAATGAGCCAAGGAAGTCTGCTGTACAACGGAACTACACTGCTGTAGGTTCTCGCGAAACGATCTACAGTGTACATGCACATGTAGTTTCGCCGCAAATACAACACAAAACACCAGACACCACCCCTGTCGCGTTGGCTCCTAGCAGCAGTGGTGCAGGCATCTTCCGCCAAATGCGCGACTTCTGAGGCCCCTACTGCTGTATATCGAACGGGCGTGCCTGATCCCGTTCCGTCCACAGCAGTGTATGTTTGTGTAGCTGTTTATTCGAACAGTAGCAGCGGTTTGTGTCCAGGATGACAAATTAGCATACGTACAATCATAGTGTTTCTACACATGGCCTACTGCTGCACATGCCTGCGTTTTTTCCATGTTGCCACTGAGCAACATACAGCAGCAGTAGCAGCAGCAATTGAACAGCAGCAGTATTCGTATCTTCCGCATTCGCAACAAGACTGTCACAAGACTGTCAGACAGAACCGCCGCAAGGATTTTTTTTCCTCCTCTTTCCATCCTGCATGTGGCTCGTCTCGCCCCCTACTCACGGCGGGAAAAGGGCGTCACGATCCCCACACCAAAGACCAGACTAGGGAGTGACTTATCGCACCATGCGATACCATTGTCGCGCGCCCAGCACATTTCGGGGTCGGGGGACAGCGGTCGCTTTTCGGAGGAATCTTGCGAACGGAACGTTGACTCGCGTGTGCCACGTGCGCACAAACAAGCTGTTCTGTTTTGTCTGTGCCGCGCCGGTAGCAGGCTCACCCCTAAAAATCCAGACGATTGTGCAGACCGGTACATGGCTTACCAACGTCGCGAAGCCACCTGTGAGACCTGACACAGTAGACTTCTCCTGTATATGTGTGTAATACTGACCGTACTGTACAAAACTGCGCAAAAAGTTCTGCGTACTTTCGCGAGGTGCCCCCTGTGGTCTGCGCCCGTCTATATATATATTCACTCAAATAGAGGGAATTCAGGGGTAAGAAATCGGTACCCTGCGACTCACGTGACGGGTTTTTCGCACGGAGTGCTCGCGGGTCTGGCCCATGTATTCAATAGCCAACAAAATTTCCGCACACAATCATGGTGCTTGATGTCACCGTCAATTACACACTCGTTCAACCACGGTATATTAATGTGGGTTGTGTTTAGCTGCGCTACAGTACACGGTTTGCCCTCCTCGTGGTCTGGAGACGCGCCGATAAAGACAACGGCATGACGACGCGGGAGTCCTCCACAGCTGCACACGATTGCCCTGTCACGTTGCTCAAAAATTGCTGGAGGTAGATAGTCACCGCACGCAATCAACACGAGGGTGATGTTTGCAAAAGGAAGGCGGAGGGAATGGAGGACGACGTGTGTCGGTACACCACAGCCTAGGCGCCACGCACAAAATGAAGAGCGCTAGACTATATACAGCGGTAGGACGTTAGGACAGACAGATGGAAGACGTTAAATCTACAGAGGACGAGGCTGAAACCGTGGCGAACCTACTCCACGATGCGTTGTTCGACTCCTACCCGCTTCGTCTACCGCTGCGTGCGCTGGGCCCCGCGTTAACTGGCGAAACGCATGGAATCGTAACAGTAGGGCCTGTTCTTATCTGTGCAACGGGCGTGTGGCGGACCAACAAGACGATGTGCCTTGGTCTCATATCTTCCACCAAAGCACAACACCTTACTGTTTGTGTGTCTTGTAAGGGACAGTCCCACCGTAATTCCCCGAGATGACGCACAGAGCAGTTTCTCGGGAAAGATGAGGGAATTCGAGAGCCTGCCGCTGTTGCAACTTCATTTATTTCCTCATGAAGATCTGTGCACCTACCTCACGTGGGTTTAGGTTCTGCAGCTTGCGGCATTCTTCGGTTCCTCGAGATCAGTCCAGCACATAGCCCTCAACTTTCTGTCCACTGTCTAGAGAACCCGCTACCCCGCCCTTGTCTACCCGGCTTTGGAAACGTGGCACCTGTATACATCTGACTTCATCGACTCAAGTGAGTGCAAACAGAGTGCAAACAGGTCAAACCTCGGTCAAGGTTGAAGCAACTTTGTGGGCACCGGGTCTGTTACTTGTTTCTCCGACACCGCTCACGCGGTAATCCAGGCTTTGACGGCGAGAGATTTTCTTCAGCCGCGTTTGTTGATATGTTCGACAACATCCATCGGTAGAGATCAAAGGAAAAACGAGCGGAGAGTAGGTGAAAACGACGACCTGTCCCGTCTGGGTTACTGCTCGTGGTTCATTCGAACGTTACGTAGGTTTGGAAGAAAGTGATCGTTCAGGGTCATGAATTCGATGGGTATAATGAGCACGAACCTGTCCTCTCTCAGGAGTGTCCAAGAGATTATATACTATACATGATGCCCGATTGTTCACAGCTCTTCTTGATCGGAAGTTCCGGCAAAGTCTAGGGAGAATTGTTCACTCTATCACGTAGCCATGCAATGCGATGTAGCGCAGGACAGCACCGTCTGGATACATACCTCTCGGGGAGGGCGGTTGCGGTAGCAGAAGGGGCAATATACACAAGTGCTGCGGGCAGAAGTCATACTGCTCCTCAGACGGTCAGAAAGAGCTGCAAAGCAGGGTTCACTTCAATGCCAATCCAAAGTTACAGCTCAAACTGCAAGCAGGTGAAGAAGTACCATACATCGATAACACCAGTTTGGCACCCCAAGGAACGTCCAAGTTGTGCAGTGGTTATGCCACATGGTACGTTCCACAGTAACACAACGCCTGTGACAGACAAGCCCCGCAGCATTTTTGTTGCGACCATCGAAATCAAGCATCATTCACCAGCATAGGGGAATTAGGTGCGGGTAGGGTCGTGGTGTTGTCTCTCGTTTCCATGCAACAGTTCCATGCAGCAATGACGAACGATTCAGTAACTCGATTGACCAGCTTCCAGTATCCACCTGCTGCATTCAACAGGTTCAAAAATACCATTTGTTGCCACCTGTCGCAAATCTACGTGTAGCGAGAGGTGTTCTTTCTATGGTTCGCCGTAGCGGAGCAAGAACCGTGGGGTCTCCACTTTGACGGCTCCTCCGCTCACGCGTGCGTTGGTTTCACCGTATTTGTAACGTTTTCATGCGTCGTATGGCCCACGCACAACAGTCTGTCTAACAAAGAATACTGTACAAGTGTTTTTTTTGTTTCTTGTCTTCACTTCAAATCAGCGCCCACAGCATTTACGCCGTTTGCTCCAGCTCCTGGTCGCACACAAGGGTTCCTCTCCCTAAGGCCCCCTACCCACCCCTCCTGCGTTACTTTGCTTTCACTTTCTAATGCGAGAAGACTGCAGCATTCTCTTCCCTTTGTGTACACACGAACAATGTCGCGGTTTCCTCGCAGGCGAGGAACGGAAGCGAGAGAAAAACTAACTCTTTGCAAGAGCTCGCCTCACACCTAGACTATATCAAGGTGGTTGTTCGGAAATCTGGAAAACCCCGGCAAACGCCTTGGTTCAATGCTCATGTTGCCACGGCAGCCGGTTCTTGGGTGCTGTTGCCCTTTGCCTTTCTATCTGACAGAATCTGGAAGGTATGTTGGTTTTTCGCTCAACTAGGGAATTGCGAAAGAAACCGTTTGACGCTCTTTTTTTGAAGTGAATCGAGGCAACATTGTTTCCTCTATGCGCGATTGTCATCCACACGATTCCTGTTGCAAGTACAAGTACCAACATAGTTGAGTTTTGTTTTCAGCAAGACTCTCGATGTCGCGAGGCATCCGAAATACTGCATGTCTCGAGATATCTAAATAACTGTCAACACCCCAAGGTCTTTTCCCAGTCTTGATACGTGTTGTTCCTATTTGCTTAACGTTTGAGTGGGGTTTCAAAGCGTTGTGCCATAACCTCTCTGTTCGGCTTGTTGTGGGGATTATTGCATGGATGGCTGGATATCAGCCTCGTTTGCATCCTCCAAACGTTATCACCTGAATGAAGCCATGGTTGGACAAACATACCGTTGCACATGGGATGGTCAATACCACAAGAAACAGTTTCACAGAGACGCGGGCTGTTGAGCATGGTGCTCGTGAAATGCGATCGTGAATCGCCATGAATTCAAACGTGTAACGACCTGCCTGCCCAAAGCTGGCGACCTATCTCGACATGATTCCGGCGAAACCACGCTTCTTGGCGCTCGCAGGTGTCACCCCTGTTCAAGGTCCAAGCAATGATGATTCACTTCAGCTCTTCCGTGGGGCTGGGCCTGATGCTGGCGGCTACCCACTCAACGCCGTCAGTGAATATCCCGGTTGACGACAATATTGCCGTTCTGCGTTGGATGCTGCAGTTGACTTTGAGGGCGCCCGGCTTTGCTCCTATGATACAGTGCCGCCCTTGCAAATTTTTGTCCTTGCCGTCCACCCCAAACTTGTCCATTCTTACCATAACGGGTTTCGCCTCCTGCGACATGCATGACGCGGATGACTGCTCTTCCCTCTCTTCGGCCGTGATCATTGGGTGTGCCCGGAAGTGCCACCTCCCAGCCATGCGCCGTCGACTCAAGGGTAAGGGCTAGACCTCGTTGTTGTACATATGTGCATTGTCGTGTTTTGCAAGGTTTGGCTACGCGTGGTAGTGTATAAGACACGACAATGGAAAAACCTACGGAGTACGTAGGTATTTGAACACCATCCGGCGTTCAAGAAAGCTAGATCAAAGGGTCGATCTACTGTGTAGCGGCACCCTGTTGAGGTCTGCTTTGGAACTTTGACGCGTGTTGTATCAAAGACACGCCTTCGCATGCGACCTTCGAACAGTGAACATGACCACAGAGCCTTCCAGAAGCAAGTAAAGAGTTCACTGGATTCTCTGCGAGCAAGCAAAGAGACGAACGAAGCGCAAAGTTTGAGTAGAGCCTCTTGTCCTTATCCTAATTGATCCTTGTCTAGGAACTGGTCACCCCTTTACCCTCCTATATAACAGTTGAGATGCCTTTCCAAACCAACTCTTTCGTTGTTGCAGGGAAACTGCAAGCCGATCAACATCGTCTGCGATGCATTGACAGACTACCAGATTGACTGGGATTGCGTTTTCGGGCCTGAATCCTTGGAGGAAGTGTTTCAGAGGGGAGGTGACTTCACTACCTGCCCTGGAGCTACCAAAGCGCACCCGTGCTCCAGGTAACGGGGTCGCTTTCGAATATTTTTTCATGCCAAGAACAACGTTTTCCACTCTTCGTTTCGATCTTCCCTGGATTGCTGCGATCAGCACTAAGATGAAGTGCGGACGTCATAATCGCTGCCTTCAGGGCCTGTTTCTGGACATGCAGCTTTTAGGGTTCAGGATGATCACTCAGAGACCAGAAAAACGAAATCTGAACGGCCCCCCCTCCCCCCCGTGCCTTTGTTGGGCACATTCCCGGTTGCTATCATGCTTGTTGTACTGGCTTCTTCGAAGCTGATTTGTTCAACTTCTTACGCTTTTCTCTCACCTCAGGCCATACGATAGACCGAACTCATGATTTTTCTGAGAGAGTCTCTTGGTAGCCCTAGTCTAGCCCACCTGTCAGCCTCCTGCCGATAATTTCCGACCCACTCTCGACCATGAACGTCAGGTTTATCGTGGACAAGGACGAAGAACGCTCGGAGGTGAAGGTGCAGGAGGGTCCCGAGGGATTCCCGTTCCTGTACGGCGAGGAATACATCTTCAAGTACAGTTTCCAGGCTATCGAGGACATGCAGGTCGCCACTCGCTTCACCCACCTCGGCCAGGTATGACCTTTCTTGCACCCCCTCATCCGTCCTGCTTGCTATACATACGTACAAGTAGAACATATTGCAGCAAACGAGGACGATAATAGCGCCGATGGTTATCTCACAGGTGAAACATCCCCCCCGCTTGACCAAAAGCACCCCCGTTGACCAAAATCATTACCGTTAACACGTGCAGAGACACCTCCTGACGTTCACAGCGCTGACACTCGCGGTCACACGAAAGCCCATGTGTACGTTGTGAAGAATGGCCGGAGAGTCAAGTCAGCATTGATACTGCCGCAACCAACGAGCGAGATGATTGCCGCAATCGACAGGGATTCAGGCGAATTCGCGTCACATAGATGGTCCGTGCGAAACACAGCACCTCGAACGTCATCGAGGCACTGTCAAACCAAAAGTTGTCGACTGCCCGCAAGTCCACAAAAACTTTATTCACCAAGCATGTATCTGCTGCCGTGCGTGGACGAAAACTGTCCTTTCAGCTCAAGGGCTCGGCGGGGGGCTACATGGTCAAGGGCGACCCGATCTACTCCCTCACCGCCAACAAGCACGGGCTGCACGTTCGCTTCAGCAACCTGGAGTCCATCGAAGACTACCACGACGGCTTGGACATGCCGCTGGACTGGGATGCCGCCACCGGGGAGTGGGTGCACGTGGAGATCATCACCACCTTTGGACAGTCCATGGAGGTACGTGGAAGTGACCTCGACGACTACGGTTGTGCGCCGTATTAGAATGTCCTTGACAGACCCATCAACTCACTGCATCAGCAGCAAACTGGCAAGTCCCGGAGGGTGCCAATGCGTCAGATTCGCGTTCTGCCTTGAGCCGAAATATTGAGGCGTGCCATCAGTGTTGTTTCTTTCTTTTGCTGACATGGATGGGTTATTCACCCCTTGCACCCGCTGTTCCGAACGACGGCTGGTGTAGTGTTGATTTCTTAACTACCAGTGAACCTTCCGGCAATGCTTGTTGTTCGCGTGTTGGCAACAGGTGAACATCTCTGGAGCCGTCAGCGGAAAGGCTGTCTGGCCGAGTGACCTCAAGCCCGTGGCCTGGCACCGCGACTCCGAAATGGTCCGGATGAAGCTGGGTCTCTACCACTCCATTCACAATGTACGTCTCGCCACCCTGCCATGCTTGGATGCCCGCCCGGCCGCCTTCAGAATGTTGTCTTCGGGTGTCTGTGGAGCGGCGTGCATGTGTATATCTGGGTGGATGGGCAGAGAAGTTTCTTGCCGTGGAGCCAGTGGCGACGACAACAACAACAGCACCGACAAACCGACCGCGAATCCACACACGGAAATCAAAGAGCCGGCCTCCAATCGCCGCGCTACCCTGAAAGAAACCGACTTGTTGCTGTCTTCGGGCTGGAGGCACTACAATACTGTAGGTCAATCCGCGCCAGGATTTCTGCTGTCCGCACCTAGCGCAACTGTTTCTACGGCTTCCGAAGCGAACCCGCACGTATCTTGGGGCTGGAAAAGAGAAAATCTTGGCCTAGGAATGAATTGACACCTTGTTCCACGGCTTGTCTGGTGTTTTTGAGTGCCGCCGGCAGTACCGGCTGTTATGCCGGCATACAACATTCTCGCGGTGAGTATAGCCTTCGTTGCTGTTTCTTTTTTTAAGGGTGTACGAACCCTGCCGCCACGCCTTTCACTGTTCTTGGCCTTTCTACCCCGGTGTTCCGGAGTAGCCGGCGAGACGTAATGCAAACTTGCTGTTGAGAAAAAAATTACAAATACCATTTCCCTGGTCCGCGCGGGTTCTTGGCGAACCACACATCTGGTGAT